CCCTTTATCATCTGAAATTTTAAAATCAGTCCCCTTAGCATTTCTACCAAGGCAGTGTCCCTGCTCCCATTCTACAGGTGAGGAGCTGGGCATTTGGAGATGATAGGACAGAATTAATAAGTGGCAGGTGAGGAATCTAATACAGGCTCGTTTTCTCCCAAATCTGCAATCTTTCAGCAATACCACAAGTTTGGTGGGACTTTTGTTCTCTTTTCACCTCTAGTCAGCAAGGCTGAGCTGTTCATGCTTGCCCTTCCTGCCTCCCTTTTTCCTAGAACAGAGAGGTAAAGTTGACAGCGGCCACTTGTGCATGCAGCTATGCTAAGTGTCCAGTTCCCATGCTGGTCACAGAAGGTGCTGCAGGAAAATCTCCTTCAGCTCCCCCACGTCTGCTTTAGGATATGGCAGCCCAGATGAACAGGGGTAGGGGAAGACACAACCCCACGCTGCATGCTGGTCCGCAGGGCACAGAGGTATTTTGTGCAGAACACCCAGGGATCCTGCTGGATGAGCAATCCTGCTCTAAGTCAAGAGTTGCAGGCCTAAGAGACCTCCCAGAAGTGAATCTCTCACATATGGAATAGTTATCTTGGTCCTCACTACAGAGGAGGGATTCTTGGAGCAATAACTGAAATGCAAAAATCTTCCTTCTGTATTTGAGTCAGATAAACCAGTTGTCCTGTGGGAACCAGAAGATATACAGGTGGTGGAACCCAGTTAGTGCAAAAACAAGTTCTGTAAGAGCTAGGGCAAAAAATCCCAGGAACTCTTTTCATTTTCCAAAGACCCATCCCTTTTCTGTAGCAGCCTTCTGCTCTCTCTCCCCTTCTTTGCTAGAGATTGGGAGGTCTTCCCATTGCCCTGACTATAGATTCTCCTCTCTCCTTCCCTCCTTCCAACATCCCAATGTCTGAGCTTTGTGACCCAGACTCTGCTGGGCCAGCCAGCCAGGCAGTAAAAGGAGATTGATGCCCTTTCCTCCTAGGAAAATCCATCACTTTTTGGCGTATAGGTCAGAAGGCTTCACTAGAGGCATTTCTGAGCAGCACTGTGCAAGCTAAAAATAAGCACAGCCAGGACCCAAATAGACGTGTGGACGTCAGAAACAAAACCGTTTACTCCAGCCGGTCCCCAGGGCCCAGCGGAGCCTCTCCCTCCCACACTCTGCCTGGCCCACACCCTCCTCCCCAGAGCTTGGCCTCTACAGGGTAGTTCCTTCTCTTTCCTTGGGAAGATACCGTAGTAAGGTTCTAGGACGAGCAGGACAGCAGAAAATTGTCAGGAGTGGAAGGAAGCAGAACATGGAGGGTTGGACATCGGAGGACAGGACCATTTGGTGGTCATAAAGCGAGGAAGGAGAGAGTGAAGGAAAGAACACAGGTTTGGGAGTCATACAACAGAAGAGTCCTTTCTTGGCCACATTTAACCTTTGTGAATTTGGAAGCCTCCCTTTGCATTCATTTTCTTATGTGTGAAAGGGGTACAAAAACACTGACTCAGGGTCATTCTGAGAATCAATCTTGGATGCCTTCATGGGTGCACATGAATCTCCTGGGCTCAACCTCTTTCCCTGCAGGTTCAGAGAAAAAAGTTGCTCAGATGGTATCTCGGGGTCTCGAGTCTCCTGGGGATAGGGGGTTGTCTGTGTGGAGGTGATTTACATTATGAGTTTTTTTTACCCCAAGCCCACCTTTCTCTGACAGCGTCCCTGGTTACCTTGTGCAACTTGTTGGTCTGGGAATAAGTTCTCTTCTTAAGAAGGACTCAGGGTGGAATGGAATCTGTTTATTTTTCCATTGTTTTCTTCTGACCTTTCTTAGAAGCCACTACCCCACCCTTGGCCAAGCACAGAGATTGGTCTTGAAATCCCTTCAAGCTGCAGACAGCTCATAAGAGCCAGAGCGCTTTTATTTTGAGCCACAGGAGATTTCTTTGTCTCTGACAAAGGTCCGTTTGCACATTTGGGGAGGATGGTTTGGTCCATGAGAGGCTTCCACCCAGCCTTTCTCCTGTGCTTACACATGAGAGTCCATGAGAGGCCTTTCTCCAGCCTTTCTCCTGTGCTTACAAAGAGTAGGCGAGTCCCTCACTGTTTTTTGCAATGTGGTCACCTGCTCCCTTCTACATTCAGGCTCCCACCACCAGCCACAGGGGCGCTACAGCCGCTGCCAGACTCCAGACTGTCAGGATGCAGAGGGAGGGTTGGGAAATCTCTCCCTGGATGTGCTTCCCCTTGCTCTGAATCAGTCAGGGATTATGATTCCGGCTGCCCAGAGAGGGAGAGGAGAAGAAAAAGTTCCAAGATGTGACCAGGGCATAACAGTTGAGAAACAGCCTCATACTTTACAGAGCTCCCTTCGTTCTCACTTTACACTCACTGTGCCTCGGAGTGAGACGCTCTGAGGGAAGCTAGTGAAGTCGCTCAGCCTGGAGTGGGACTCAGGAATCCACAAAAATGCATTATGTTGCTTTGCTTTGGTGGGGACGTCTCCACAGCACCCAAGAAGGCCATAGAGGCATGATGTCTGTTGGGCAGTTGAGGCGCTGGGAGGAGAGTTACTTCAGCCCAGGGAGGGGAAGAGGGGGTTGGAGGTGAGTCCAGGGCCCCTGGCTACCTGCTGGACCTGTGGTCATGAAGTGTGACTTAGTCTGTGCCCATGAGACTTGTTAAATGCGAGCTGTGAAGGTGAACAGCTTCCCGCTGCTGGCTAATTCTTCACTGCACAGAAAAATCCTGTTCAGTTGTCCCAAAAGGGTGCTTCCTGCACCAACAAGGTCAACATCATCTGGGAATGTACAATGCATATTCTCAGGCCCCAGCTGGACTTCCTGGGTTGGACTGTTGCAGGGTGCTGGTGAGAAATCTGTTCTAACAAATGGTCCAGGTGACTCAGGCCTGCTCGGGTCAGGACCACTCTTCTATGCATTCCAGAGGTAGTGAGGGTTGGAATAGGGTCTGGGGCCTCACAGGAGGCTTCCATAAGTCACTGGACCACTCTGCCTGATCCTTATGCTCTGGATTCCATGCCCACTCTAAGCACCAGGTGGAGGCCTGACTTGGCCTTCATTTCACTTTGCTGAAAAGTAATATCAATAAGATGAAAGCAGGACTTTACTATATTTACAAAGTGGAGGGATTAAGCCTCTATAAACTTCTATGTACAATGCTCAGGGAATGGATGGGCACAATACTATTCCTCATAGCCATCGTATAGATGAGGAATCTGAGGCCCAAGATTTCCTGCAGGATGAGCCAGGTCTTGAGTTCATTTCCCCTGGGCCCCTCCGACCTCACCAACCCTGCAAGTTCCAAGCCTGGGGCTCAGCACCAAACAGCTGTAATCACCAGCCCCAACATCACTCCGAGGCCTGCCAGGATGCTCACCTGGTAGGAACCGGTGTGTCATCACCAGTCCCCTGGGAATGATCAAGCAGTGATGAGCAGATGGCCTCCCAGGAGAGGTGCTGACCTCCCATTTTGTCACAGTGGGAGACTTTTTAGCTTTCTGCTTTAAGGCCAACAAATCCCATTCTTCAGAGGCTGGGAAACAGAGACAGAGAGTGTGAAGAAGGGAACCTATTTTTAATCCCCTCTTTGTAAAGACTGGGGCATGGCTCGGCAGTATGTGGCAGCCTCTTTGGAGCCCTGTGGACTAGTGATGCGGTGCTCCAGCAGCTGTTGGTCTGCAAAAAGAGAAGGATAGAATAGTCTGCCAATGTGTCCGCCCACAAATCCTTATAAGGCAGATCACCCAGACACCTCAGGGTATCAAGAACTCTGATACAAACAAACAAACAAACAAACAAACAAACAAAAACCCAATGCTCTATGCAGTCAGAAAGGAATCCCCAGTCCCACCAAGATACTAACCAAGAGCCTTCCCGCCATATCCCTGGGTCCCTGTCACATGGCTGCTCACCCATGCGTCAGTCTGTCAAGGTCCTCCACCTTCAGCTTTTGTTTCCCAACAAGGTCATTTGAAACAACCCCCTCTCCTGGATCTGCCAAGCTCTTCATAATGTTAATCCAGGTATTTAATGGGCTTCTGTCTGTTGAACAATTAACGCAAAGGTCAGGGAGTAATCTACGGCCGCCCCTTTCATCGCCAGCCCCCACTGCTTGTATGATTCCCTGGTAGAATTCTTTCCAAAGAGCTGGGAGGGCTGAGGTCACAGCTCTGCCTTCTCCTGGCAGACAGACTTTAATTAGGTTGCTAAATTAGTGGAGGCAGTGGCAGCCCTTCTCTTTACACTGACTCATGCCAGGCTGTCTCTGAACTTACCATTTGTATTTTCAGTGAGAGAGGAGGTATCGGCCGAGGAGAGATTTTCCCTGAAATAATTTTTAGCTGCCAATTAGTAGCTTCTATCACAGGCCAAGTGCTGTGTTGGGATTGTTATAGCCATTATGTTAGGACAAGAGAGAGACAGAGAGAGAAAGAGAGAGAGAGAGAAAAAGGAGATGTTGTTGCTATTCCCATTCTACAGATGAGTACATTGAGGCTCTGAGGTTGCATAACTTCCAAAATTTAAAAAGAAAATAGCATGGGGATGGAGTCAGGATTCAAATTCATTTCTCAACCATATCCCAACAAAGTGCTACCAGGAGCACACTGAAAGCACCTGAAAATTTGCTGGGAAGGTATACTTTTAGACACACTGGATTAGAGTCTGCATCTTAACAAGCTTTCCAGGACTCATGTAAACCGTAAGTGTGGAGACTGCTATGGCCTATCACCAACAACACTAGCTAACTTGTACCAGAGTCATGTGCATTAACTTCCATCCACTCTGTTTCCCCATTGAGGAAGCTGTAGATTTGTGAGGGTAGGGGCTGGTCAGGGGTAGAGCTGAAGCCACAAAGTGAAGCCATTTTCCATGCTTATGTTGTGTGCTAGCTTGGCTTTCCATGCCATGGACTCCCAAGCACCCAAGGTCTCTTACCGTTCTTGCAGGCACTCAGGACTGACTCTTCCGCCTCCGTTCTGTCCCCCCTGCAGATGTGCAGCACATCAAGAGGAGGGACATTGTGCTGAAGCGAGAACTGGGCGAGGGAGCCTTTGGAAAGGTCTTCTTGGCCGAATGCTACAACCTCAGCCCAACCAAGGACAAGATGCTTGTGGCCGTGAAGGTAAATCCCGGAGTATGTGGGCACCAGGCAGAGGGTGGGTCAAGGTCCCAGGATACAGAGAATGAGGCATACCCACTCTCCATTCAAGAAGATGGTGCAAAATCAGCTTTGTCAAATGCAATCAGGGCACTTTGCTTGCTCCAAGGTCAGTGAAATTTCCAATGGGCCAAAACCAACTTCCTTTGCCACAGGAGGTCAAAGGTTGTGGAAGTCTGTGCCTGTGGACAAAGGCGTGCTATTGAAAGACCCTGGTTTTGCTCTAGCGGTCCCAGCTCACCCTTCACAGTGCTCTGCAGGATGAGTTATCTACACACATTGTGAGAGATGCTTGACCATTTCACAGGGGCAGGGCTGGGGATAGGAGGCTGCCCAAGGAGCCCCTGGGGCCACTGAAAACATCAAGTATTGACCTTGAGTTGAATTGTCTAGGGCACCAGGAAAGGGGCTTTCTTCTGCCAATTTCCTCTTCCACCTTTGCTCCAAAAGTGATGAGCTTCTCTTGTAGACTGGTTCTAGGAAGGGCTTTGGCAATGGTTGACACAAACAAGAGGCCTATAAGTTCCTGGGGTCTCCATGGGTCCCTGGAGGTCTGTTCTGGAGTGAGGAGCATGAGTGACCTCCCTGGCTGGAGCTTGAAGGACTCTGAACCCATCCTGGAGTCTACATGCTATTCTGGGATGAGGGCTGGTACTGGGGCGGAGGCAAGAGACATGACCACAGGTGAGGAATCTCTCTTGGGCCTCAGAAGGGTCTCATCCTTAGCACTGTGGCATCTGAATGCATGAAAAAGGCAGTTTCATGAAGCAAGGATAATTATTAGCCTTGTATGAGGCAATGCTTGGTTCTTTATTTTCTGGAACAGAGGTCAGCAATCTATATCTGTTTTTGAAAAATATTTGTTGGAAAGCAGCCATCCTTGCTGGTTATCGTATTGTTTATGCTGCTTTCCCACAACACAGGCCGAGCTGAGTAGTCATAAAGAGTTTTGTGCTTTTGAGTCATGCAACGGATGCAGGCAGAGACATATGGGGCACTGGCCTAGTAAGGGAAGAGAGAGAGCCTGGGAACAAATCCCAGCCACATCACTGGTCAGCTGTGTGACCTTGTGCAGGACATTTACCCTCTCTGGCCTTCAGTTTTCTAATCTGCAAAATAGGAATTGTAGTACCTCTTCCTCAGAATGCTGATGATTAAATTATATAATTGGTGTGAAATCCTTAGTGCTTGGGATGTAGAAAATGCTGGGCAAAGAGCTGCTGCTGTTTGGTTTTAGCATCATCTTTATAACTGATGCTGGTGTTACTGAATGTGGTGAGACCGTGACACACAGCATGTGAAGCTGAAGTTTGAGTTGACTCTGTAGAATAGAACTCATCAAACTTTTTCTCCAAAGAGCCAGAGAGTAAATATCTAGGCTTTGAGGACTGTATTCTGTCTATTGCAAATACTCAACTCTGTTTATATTATGCGAAAGAAGCATAAACAATTTTAGCCAATAAAAGCAGCTGCTTTCCACTGGCATTTTTTATAAAACCAGTGTAGATTGCTGACTTCTCTTTTAGAAAAGAAAGAAAAGCTAGAGTATTGCCCTGTAAAGGGCCAGTGTTTACCCTTACTGCAGTCCTGTGCATGAGCTCGTTCATTGTGTCTCCAGTGACATGGGGTGGTCAGAGGAGCAAGGGCAAGCCACTTGGACCAGGGATGTGGAAATGTTTCTAATTTTGCCCATAAACTGAGAATCAGTTTATCCTTGCACTTTTATTGTGTAGGATGACGCTGATCTACTGGGTGTTCCAGCATCCGTCTGGGGACTGGCAAGTGAACCAGCTTTGCAATTTAAGCAGGAAATTAGATGATGGCCGAAACCCCAGGAAACATTTCCCCTAGTGGTCTGGCGCTAGTGGTGGTACCCAGACTGGATAATGCAAAAAATCTGTTGCTGTTTGCATCTTTTGAAAAGGATTTCCTTCTCTCCTTGGGCCTGGGAACCTTGAGGAGATGAGCACTCTGGGAATTGACACCATTTTCTGCCCACTGAATCTGCCCAGGAAGCATCCCTGAAGGTTCCCACTACCTTTCCAGAAAAGGGGGAGAAGTGGCCTTAACTATTCCTTGTCCTTTTCAAAGCTTTCTCCTTTTTCCAGCCGCTTCCCTTTGACCAATATTTATGTGGGGACATTTGGCACTTCTGAACACTTGCAAGTATAATCCAAGGTTAGGTGTTTCTCAAAATTGTGATTTAAAATCAATTGGCAGGCATATTTTTGCCCAGTAGATGCCATGGTGGAAACCAAGGAGTGGAAACACAGGCTTTTTTTAAAGTGCTGTGGCCTGCTGGGAAGCCAAGGTGAATGAATATCTTGCATGAGAAAGGGGAACAGCACAAGGCAGAGCATAATTTGTGTATATGCATGGTATGAGCATGACATTAAAATACAGCTGCCCCTTGACTTACAGTGAGGCCGTGTTCCTGTAAAGCCATTGTAAACTGAAAAGATCCTGAAGTAAAAAATCCATCAGGTCGACCTAACCTACTGAACACCTAGCTTAGCCACATGGTGTGCTGAGCGTATCACTGACTGCCCTGTGATTGCAGGGCTGCCTGCGAATGGTGGGTCCCTACTGCCACTCCCCAGCGTCACTAGTGAGTGCCTGATCACATTTGCTAATCAAGGACAAGATCAAAATTCAATGTAAGGCACGTTGTTTTGTTTTTACCTTTTTGTCATTTTGTTTTCTCTTTGAAATGAAAACAATATATTATAAAAAATTCAAGGTAAGGCATCTTCTCCACGCATGTCCTTCCAACCATTATAAAGGTGAAAAATCGTAGGTAGAACCATTGTAAGTCCTGGACTACGTGTGATGGAATTCATGAAATTTTTTAAATTGGTGATGCCATTGTCAAATAATCATTTAACAAACAATAGCTTCCATTGTCCTCAAGCCCAGGTAAACTTCCAATTCAGGTATGGGAAGGAGGCCTCCCCTGTTGCTTTTTCTGTTTTCCTTCTCTGTTTTTCCTTGTTCAGTCTTGGGTGAGCCCAGCACTCTTCTACCATGAGTTCTCCTTGTGGTTTTATCTGTTCTAGAGTGTTTTATGTCTATGGAGGTTTTTGTTTTAAGTTTGATGGCCATAGAGTTTATTTCCAGGATATCTAACTGGTCTGTAATTTTTATGTTATCTTAATTTTATTCCTTCCTGTTCTTACTACGAACCTTCTCGTTTTTAAAAAAGTAATTATTTCTTCATTCCCTTGCCACATTTACTTATTTAAAAATCTTTATGAGCCAATTCATCTGAAATGTATTGATCTGTATGAAATTCACATTCTGGTTATTGACAATTTTAATCACTTGGATTTAGCATAACATTCTTCCAATAAGTTAGAACTTCAGCTTTTGGGTTTTGGAGGGCTGTTTTGTTTTTGTTTGTAGTGTTTATGATTTCCAGTTACAGATTTTTGTTTGTTTGTTTCTTTATTTGCTAGGGATTGAACCCAGCATTGCTGCACTAAGCTATATCCTCAGCCCTTTTTTATTTTGAGACAGGGTCTCATGAAGTCCCCAAGTTGCTTAGGCTCAGTTCAAACTTAGTCCTCCTACCTCAGCCCCCCAGAGTTCTGGGATTATAGGCCTGCATCCCCATGCCTGGCTAGTTATAGTTACTTTAAGTTGGAGGAGAAACTTAAAACATTTGTAAAACAATCTGATAGGATCTCAGATTTTTACTATTTTCTTAAATTATAAGATTTATTTTTCCATGTTTAGTAATGTTTTTAGCCATTGATATTTAACAGGTTTTTCCAAAGCATTCACTTAAGGGTCCATAAAAACCACCCACTCTTCACTTATATTTCACTGGTTTCTATAACCTGTCAAGTAATTATATTAACAGCTTTAACTGTCGTGAATGAATCTGGGGACAATGAGAACCAACATGCAGTATGCCATGTCTGGGGCAGAAGCATCTCTCTGGCATCTAACTAGCGAGGAGTGGCCAGGGTCTCATCCATTGGTCCATATTTTCTGCAGAGGTAATGAATGTTGCTAGCTCACCTGCAGGTATAGTGGAAGGCTTTTCTGACTAAAAGAACAGCAAATGCAAAGGCCCTGAGAAAGATAAAGACAGCGTGTACAAAAGACAAAAACTCCAGGGAGAATGAAATAGAATGGATGGGTGGGGGGCAGGTGGAAAGAAATGTGGAGGCCAGATATTTAGCTTGTTTTAAAGACTTTGGATTTTACTTCAAAACAGTAGGACATCAATGACCAGTTTAATTCAGATGGATAAATGAGACAGGGTCCTTGTCTGTGTGATGATTACCCATCATCCATCCTGTGGATTTGTTCTCAAATTTCATAGAGGGGAGGGGACAGGGGCTTTTGAGAGACTAAAAGAAAAGTGTTTTTCATAACTAAAGGGCCTTGGTTGGTGTGTATGTGAGTGTGTGTGTGTGTGTGTGTGTGTCTGTGTGAACACTCGGGAACATGCATCACCCTGTGTATATAATGAAATTGATTTCGGGGCAGCAATGAAATCTGAAGCTGAACATTCCTCGAGATACCTTCTCCTAGTAAGAGAGAAAAGCAGAAGCCAGAAGACTCCTTGGGCTGGACCAGAGGAAGCAGTGAGCTTGCTTGGGAGGAGTCGGGCCCCTGAGCAGGGCCTCTCTTGCCGTCCGGCCTGCGTACAGGTGCAAAGACCTGGTGCACACGGAGAAAATGACCAGAAAGGGAAATGTCTCACGCTTTGGAGCAAAATGAGGAAGACAGGAAGGCCAAGTCCAGCTCTCCTCTCTGCCCGCGCATAGGGCCCAGGAGAGCCCTTGGCAGGACCCTGTCCCTCCACCAGCAGTTGGTGGCTCTGATGAACACCAGTTCTGTCCCAGGCCACTGACTGGTGACCCATTTTGTAGTTTCCCAGCAACGAAGAAAGTATTGATTGTGGACTCCCCGGTGAGGGCCAAGAGAACCTTTGGCCCAGTTCTTCTGCTCATTATTCTCCTGTCATCTCTGTCCCAGTTGCATCAATCCCCGGAGATTATGGCCACTTGCAGCTTGGAACCCCAGTGTCTACACCCCACACCTTGACAGTGACATAAGGACTTCAGGCCTGACCCACCAGCTGGGAACCTGGGTGTGAAGGCAGAGACGGAGTGTGGAAGACCAGGAGAAACAGAGTTGCTTTGTGCTCCATTGTGCTCCATCTCTCAAATGAGGAACTCAAGTCGGCCTTGAGGCACAGGGTGCCGGCCTGAGGACACCGGCTGGGGCTGCTCCAGGGCTGAGAACGGAAATATCCCATGGCCGCCCCTAACGTCTAGTCTGTGGGAGAGAATGATTTAAAGAGATGGACAGAGGCCATTTGGCTGGCCCCAAATTTGATCTACTTTTCCCTCTCATAAATCCAGTGTTCACATAAATCTTTATATTCTCCCATCCTACCCATGCTGGGTTCCCCATTTTTATGTTGTTCCTTCTTCTCCATGAAAATAAATACATCACTCGCAGTCATCCTGTATCCATGCTCCAGCCCATGTAGCTCAGAGCTGTGGCCAGGAGCTGGTCACTGTGAGAGGCTGTCTCTCACCGTGAGTCTCTGGCTGGCATGTCTTTGTGCTGGCGCTGGGTGGACACAGCAGCTATTCCTTTCTTCACGGGTGGCCTCCCTGAGCTGAAGTGCAAAGTATGTGCAATTCAGTCTGATAAGAATCAACTGTGGGCTAGTAAAATTCTCCTCCCACTTCAGTTCTCCCCTTCGTCTACCCTGCAGGCCTGGCCTCCTCACTGGGCCCAGTTGCTCTAGCCCCTATCTCCACCTTTTCCCAACCCTCTCCCCTACACTTCCACATATTTTCACTCCTTTCTCCATCATTCTCTGGGGGAATCTGTCTAGTGACTAATTCATCTGATAAATTAATTCAAACAGGTATGCTGGGTGGGAAATTATCCTCAACTCCAGACCCAAGCTGTTGCATGTTCCATGATCTTTGGCAAGCCACTTCCCCATTTTGGGCCTCACTTTTCTCATCTATAAAATGGGCAAGTTATGCTGGAATAACAGTGAAAATTTTTGTCACTAGGACCATTTATCAAACACATTTTTGGTCAAACCTTCCAGATTTTAACAAAAAGGAAGATGTTGTTGGTTGGAGCATAAATGGGGCTTGATGAAGCCGCGAGGCTCACTAGGGGGCCACTGGTCTAGTCACTCTAACTTTCTATAAGTTTAGATGTGTGAATGTGGGCTGATTCCCAAAGAGGCCTGGCCTCAGCTTCTCCATCTCCACAAAGGAACAGGGAGGAAAGCACAGGTAGAGCCCTTCCTACGCTGAGTCCACCCGCTCTAGTGTGTGCCAGTGACTGAGGTTGGATGCACCTTGATTCACAGTACACAGAGGAGCCTGTGGATTTCAACTCGTGGGGCTGCAGTGGAGTGGGAAAGCTCTCGGGCTAGGGAGGTTTTTCAGCACTTACACAGGGAGGTCAGTCAGCTGAGTAACCAGAAAAGGCCAGATGCCTAGCAGAGAGAGCAAACCAGTCTCCATACTGTCTAGAGTTTCGCTAACCGGACACTGGTGAGGGAATTTCACACTCCCTTCCTTATTGTCTGGTTTTGTGTCTGCTGAGGTTACTAAGCTGTGTGAGAGGCTCCTTCCCTGGCACAGGGCCCTCTTCTCTGCACAGATCATGGTCCATCCTGGCCAGCACTGCTCATCCCTAAGGCAAGGCTTTGTCCACAGTCCTACAGATGCACTCAGAGTATACAGTTTGGGTCCCATGTTTCTTTTTGGTGGTTGAAAATCCACACCTGCACTTACACCTTTCCTGGGTGTGTTACTCTTCCCTGTCCAGGAAGTAGCCTGGTCTGCACTTCCCCCTCACACTGGCTCTCCCAACCCCAGCGAGCTGAGTGGTAACGTCCTGGTGGCCATAAGATGCCCACGGCCTCACCCTGCACTGGGACTCTATGGTCCTCCACCTGTTTCTGGGTGCATCTAAGGCTTCTGTTAACTCCCATTCCCACAGCTACTACCCCACTTACCTCCCGTGCTTCCCCCAAACCTTGATAGAAGAACATGATGCCTTCTAGCAGCTAAATGTTCACTTTCCTCTGCAAATATTGACTCCACCATTGAAAGGGTTAGAGGACAAGAAGACTGTGGTACATTGCCTACCTGATTTCTGGTAGGCTCTGGGTGTGTGCTAATTTACAAAGGTGAAGCCATTAGACCACTGGTGTCAACAATATTTGTTTTAGCAGTGGATCATTTTTTTAAGGCAAACCTTAGAGCAGGGTCTATATCAGGCCTTCCACCTGTTGCCCTGGTCTCCTCTCACTCACACTTAATTCAGAGGAAGCCTGGGGTTCTGACATGAACATAGTTTGAGGTAGAAGCCTGGAGCTCTGGGATGGGCACAGTTTGAAATCACTGGCCAATGTATGCAATGTGGGAGTCAGAAAGTGAATTTTTTCCTACTAGGATCAAAGTGCTGAAGCAGGAAGGGGCCAGACTTTGAAATATGGGTTAGCTTTACTGTCTTTAAGTTTGTTTCAAATCTTATTTATTGGGAACTCAACAGCATACGGTGGCCAGTTTCACCAAGAGAGAAGACAGATCCCTGGGCTCTGCTAAGAGCTGATGTCTTGTTTTTCTCAGGCCCTGAAGGATCCCACCCTGGCTGCCCGGAAGGATTTCCAGAGGGAGGCCGAGTTGCTCACCAACCTGCAGCATGAGCACATCGTCAAGTTCTATGGCGTGTGTGGCGATGGGGACCCCCTCATCATGGTCTTTGAGTACATGAAGCATGGAGACTTGAACAAGTTCCTCAGGTGAGCCAGGGATGCTGTCCTTCTTCTCCATCCTCAACCCCAGGCCCACCAAGCCCCTGGGTTTTCCCTGAAGTCATACATTCCCCTCTGCATTCTTAAGTCTGAGGATGAGATGCATGAAGCATCCTTATCTGTTATCACCTTAGCAGCAGGATGTAGGCCTTTATCCTTAGGTTAAGAGACCTATAACCTTCTTCTTGGTTCTGTGGTTGGCATAGAAGGGTTTGGTCTAGAATGAGTCCCAGGAAAATCTTGAGGGCTCTCCAGCCTATGCCTTACAACTCCAAGTTTCCAGAGCCATCTTTCCCCAATGGTGCAGATAGCTTCCCTCTTTGTGCCTTAAATGTCTCACTTTTATAAGGTGAGGTGAGTATCTTACAGCCTTCCTGGTAATCTTCTGGCCAAAGACTTTTTGATGATGAATAGTAAGGTTACAAACTCATCAAAGGCAGAAAGGGTGGAAAAAAAGGGAGCAGATTTTCCTTGTAGACTTTCCTTGTAATTCTACAACTATGGCATCCAGTATGGTAGCCACATGTGGCTTTTTGAACATAGATTTACATGAATTAAAGTTAAATAAAATGGGAAGTTTGTTTCCTTGGTCTCACTGGCCATATTTCAAGAGTTGGGTTGCCACATGTAGCTAGTGACTACCACAATGAGCAAGAGGTAGTCTAGCTGTGTTCGTAATTTGAATATTCTATTTGGATAATCTTGTTCTAGAGACAATCAGTTTGTTGTCTCTAAGCCTGGAGAAAGATTATCTGGACTTTGAGAGACAACTTGTAAAAGACTGGAGTCCCAGGCAGAAGTTCTAGACAGAGCTGCAAGGGTGGGTCTACTTTCTTCAGAGAAGATAGCACCTCGTCCCTAGGGCAGAATTAGGACTTCCTTGAGGCAGCCTTCCACAGCTGCCACCTTGCCAAGAGTATCCGCATGTGGGGTGGCCAGGTATGAGGGTCTCAAGCAGCAGCTTGAACATTCAGGCCTTGACATTTGGAGTGTGATCTCTGCTACAGGACTATTTGAATCCTGTTGAATTTAGTGGCTAAGAATGAGATTTTCAGTATAAGTTATAGAAGGTGCTAGCTTACTTGTGAAAATCCAATGACTGTCCCTTTAAAGTGGAGCATTTAATAAGGTGCTGTGGTTTTGAGGGGGAATGGAAAGAACTGATACCAAGTCCTAGATGGCAGGAGTCTTTGGAACTCTGCTTGTGAACTGGATTTCCAAAAACGTGGTCCTGGAGGAGTTTAAAGTATGTGTAGGATGTTCTATACCTCCCGAACCTGCAATCACAAGGAAATTGATTCCTTTCCCAGAGAACTCAGACCTTAACATAAAACAGACTGGGTTTCATATCCCAGTGGATTTGTTACATCTTAGTTACAATGAGGGAACATTATAAAATTTTCATTTTCTTTCTTACAAAACGTAACTATTAGTAACTGCTTCACAGAACTGCTGCTATGTCTACTGACTACACATGTATAATGCTGAGATGAGTTTTCCATGTAGCTAGCTATTTAGACAATGGTAGCTACTATGAAAGTTATTAATAATAAAATTATTGCTATTTTATGAGAACTATGAGCCATAGTAGCTTGTAATCCAGGAAATATTATCTCAATACTTGAGATCTCCTTCTCCTTGTGATTCTGTTCCTCTGAGGTCAGAGGGACAGGTCCCAACTTTCACCACACCCCCTCCATAGGGCCAGCATTCTCAAGTGCTGCCAGCATAGGTAAAGAGATCTCCCAGGCCTCTCCCTATGCCATTGCCATACCCTGTATAAATAAAGAGGAAGGAAAAGGAACGTAAGGAGAGACAGAATGAGAAGTGAGGGTAAAGGCAAGGGGTAGGAAAAATAGAAAAGAAGAAAAAGAAAAAAATAGAGCAAAAAATCAAAAACAAAAACAAAAACAAAAACAAAAAATCCCAGAAGGGAACACAGAAGCTGAAGAGCCACATCTATATCAGCCGTGGCAGACAGTGCAAGGAAGGCCTGCATGTGAACACAATTCTGCAAGGATTCCTGACACTCATATGATCTCTCTTTGGAGTCCCTTCCTAAAGACAGCATGCCAGGTCTATCCAAGTCAAGGTCCAACAGTCTTCCAGGAACATTTTTCTTTTCTGCTGTACAATTGGCTGACCAGATTCCCAGTACTTGTGGTCTTCCTAGGCTCTGCCAGTCAAGGCTGAGTGCCTCCAAAACACCCTAGTGCAGGAAGCTCTTAGCAACAGGTCACACCAACCCTTCTGGGGACCTGGCTTCCTGGCTGCTCTTCTAAGCACAGCCTCTGGCACCCCAGGCCAGCCCCGCCTGCTCCCACCTCTCCCAGCTGGCCGTGTGTGGAGGCAGGCCTTGTGAGCGCTCCCAGTAGACAGGAGGGGTCTTCTGTATTGGTCGCCTCCCTTGCTGGTGGGTGCAGCAGCTCTCCTCGCAAGTACTGCAGGAGGCAGAGCCCACTGGAGATAATAAAATGAATGTGCTCATATTTAATGGTGCCTTTCAGTGGAAACTGGAGAAGCAGTAAAACAGGCCCTGTACACCAGGGCTCCTTAGCCCACCACTCCATAAATAAAGCCCCTGGGTGTGGTTATGGCTCATTGGGCTTTCTGGACAAAAGAGTGAACACTAAACGTGACTGATATGACAGGGTAAGGTGCTAGGATAACAAATCTGGCCGTGGATTTGGGATAAAGGGAGTGTGGGGGCTCTCCAGTCTTCTCCGTCAGAAGCAGAGGGTCTCTCCTTCCTCTCCTGCACTGCTGCTGTAAGTTACCCAGTCCTAGGAAGTGTGATAGGGTTCTTGGAAGTGTGGATTTGAGGGCGTCCTACAGCTTACTGTGTGGCTGTGGATTGCCCCTTAACAGCGTCAGCACTGGGATGGGGTGGAAATAGCAAACAATGAGCTCTGCCTATCCAATCAGAACCCTAGGGGGCAGGGCCGGGGAATAAGCTTGAAAACCCTCCTTGAGGCTCCTTTTGGAAGTTTGCCTTTACACTACAGGTGTGACTTTAAATTCTATCTCCTGAAGACCCACATATCCATTTTGGGTCATTGGGGATTTGGGGTGAGTGATTTCATCATTTTGTGCCTCAGTTTCTTTATTTCAAAAGTGGGGCAGAAGGATTAACTGGATGCACTTAAAACAGTCAGGACAGCGCTTGGCACACAGTAAGGGCACACAGTAAGGGCTGTGTGGGAGTTAGTTTTTGTGTTAGTAATTATTCTATGATAAATACCTAACACTTGGGAAAACCATAGGTAGCAGTAAAATATTAAAAAGAATAAGTTTATTCCCTGTTCCTTTCGAGTATGTCTGCTTTCACCTTAGTTGGGATCCTGGTTGTAGAGCTCCACCCCTCCCCACACTCACTCGATATAATTTTTAGTAGAGAAGTAGGCAATAGGCAACGTGGAAAGAGGAAATTCACTCATTTCTATGGGGCATCTCAGAGTACTGGGAAATGAAAAGGTCTTTCCCCTTGATCTCCTGAATTCTCTCTGCTCCCTCTCTCCTCCCCACCTCCTTGAAGGGCCCATGGGCCGGATGCGATGATCCTTGTGGATGGGCAGCCACGCCAGGCCAAGGGTGAGCTAGGGCTCTCTCAAATGCTCCACATCGCCAGTCAGATCGCCTCAGGCATGGTGTACCTGGCCTCCCAGCACTTCGTGCACCGGGACCTGGCCACAAGGAACTGCCTGGTCGGAGCCAACCTGCTGGTGAAGATTGGAGACTTTGGCATGTCCAGAGATGTCTACAGCACCGATTACTACAGGGTAAGGTGACTTTCCCAGCTGCAGGATTCAGTGGCAGAGCTAGCACCTTGCTTACACATCTTTGTCGTTGTCCATTAACCCTGTCACTGTGGTGCACGTGTACACTCACGCTTGCCCAGACATGCACTCAACAGTTATCCTTTGGCTTCTCCTGCATCTTGACACACCTGTGTATATTCATCTCAACAAGCCACTCTGCCTTCCCTTTGCACATTTGACTGGACTGTACCTGCACATTCCAAAAACATATGCATTGTGTTCTTACTTACATGGATGTTCATTTTTCATGCAAACAGAATTGTGTGTGTGTGTGTGTGTGTATATATATATATATATATGCCCAAACACACACCCACACAAGCCCAATGTGGTGCTATCTTTTAACATCTTCCCACTTTGTCTCTGATCTAACTTCACCCAGACCACATTTTATTCCCTGGAATTATCTTTTGAGTGTGTAAGGATAATCATGTTTTTCAAGGTAGATCTTGATGAAAAGTAGAGCCCAAAGTAAACTAGCAACAATAGTGACTGCATTGCTGAGCAGAAAATCTGAAAGTCTTTGGAAAGATGAGGGCATAAAGCACTTTATAAGTTTCTAGCTTTAGAGAAAGGAGGGGTTAAATCTTAGAAAAAAAATTCCAATTGTGAGGGGAGCTACTGTATGCAGTTTTCCTCCCAGACAGTTGTCTGCTTCATATTAATAGGATCTTATTTTGTTCCCAGAATCCTTTTTCCCTTAGTCTCTGGAAACTTGTCATGGATCACTGAGTGGCTCTGACTCTGTTACTCTTGCCAGGGAAAGGGTGAGTGGTCACAAATGTCACTTTTCCCAGAAAGGGAAAATGTGGGTGCAACTTGAGATCCAGAGATGGAATAATATTTGCAAACTGATAGAGAGGCAGATGCTTCTAAAACATAGGTCCCCAGGCTCCAGGCTACAGACCAGTACTGGACTGCGGCCTGTTAGGAATGAGGTTCCACAGCAGGAAGCGAGGAACTGTTGAGCAAGCGAAGCTGCATCTGTATTTGCATCTGCTCCCCTTGTTCACATCACTGGCTGAGCTGTGCCTCCTGTCAGATCAGCAGGAAATTAGACTCATAGAAATACAAACCCTATTGTGAACAGGGATGTAGGATGTATTCTCCTTTGCATCAGTCTGAATGGTACCATCCAACCCCACCCACATCTCACTCCTGAGTCTATAGAAAAATTGTCTCCCATGAAACCTGTCCCTAGGGCCCAGAAAGTTGGAGACTACTGCTGTACAAGATGGAAGATTTACTTTGGGGATATCAGCTGGGGAAGGAATCTGGACAGGCAGTATAAGGAGCGAGATGGGCAATGTTTTAAAGGTAGAGGGCTGTTGTAGTCTATTTGGGCTACCATAAAAAATGCCTGAAGCTGGGATGCTCACAACAAAAATTTTATTTCTCATGGTTCTGGAGCCTGGAAGTCCAAGATCAAGGCTCTGACAGCTTCTGTGTCTAGTGAGGGCCCGTTTCCTGGTCCTGATAGAGTGTTCTTTTCACTGTGCCCTCATACAACAGAAGGCAACAAGGGGCTCAGTGAGGCTTCTTTAAAAGGGCACTCATCCTATTCATGAAAGCACCACCCTCATGATGAAGTGACCCCTCCAAGCCCCTCATGCTCAGCCTGGCATTCAGGTTTAACATTTGAATTTTTAGAGAATGCAGTTATTCAGACTGTGTTAAGGGGAACGGCAGCCAATTGTCTGATTTTATTCATAGAAAACAAACGATCATGTGTGATCCAAAGAGCCCTGATATAATTGTCCTATTCACCTGAGCTTGGTAAATCAGGAGGCTAGGAACTGGGGTCTGGCATCCATGCGCAGAGCAGGCTATCTGCATGCTCCTGATGGCTCTGCCTAAACAAGATCACTCAGGTGTTAAAACTGATCATTCAAGGAATTTCATTTTAGCCGTGGCCCAGAGAAAAAGGGAATGTTTGAGAAATGCCTTTTATAGCTACAGACTGATTTGTTTATGGTACAGTGAAAAGATGGCAAATGATACACCCTCACGAGCCTACCTGCGGCAAAGTAGACCAAAGGTGGAGAAAGTAGAATGTCCGTGGCAGAGCGAGCAGCTTCTGTAGTGGAGAGAGCAAAGTGGGGCAAGAGCCACAGACTGATGTCCGGTGCAGACTTGCCAGGAAATAAGCAAAGTGCAGTCTTTCTTTAGCATCTAGAGCATTGTTTCCAGCTATTTTCAAAAGAGGCATTGGTGTGGTTACTAAGGGGGCCCATGGGTCATAGACTTCTTAGCGGCAAGCTGGAGCTGGCACCATTTAATTGCCTTTCCACTCTGTGTAATGGGGTTTGCTGGTCTGCCTGACTGAACTTAGATTTATGGTTGTGTTGATAAAAGAAAGGACTGGCTCACTGTTGTTTTGGTTTTGTTTTCTTTTTCTTGTGCGAGGCAGATATTTAATTATGCCAAAATGATTTCTACCGGGTTCACCAAGACTTTGAGAAACCATGTCTGCTCTGAATGTGCCCAGTGAGCCTCACAGTGCTTCTACACTTGCACTTAACAGTTCTCGGTGCTGGTTTAAAGAGAGAAACCAAATAAAGAGGAAAGGCAAATCCAAATGGTACTTTTTTGGCCCTTGCTTCAATAGCTGTAAGCTGTTGCTCTTTACCCATGGGAAAAATTCAAGGCACAACCTCATCTCACTTGTGTAGCTGCCAGAGAAGATTGAAGGAAGGGAAAGGAAATGGGGAATGTTTACACTCCAGGTATCTTCAATTCTGTCATCGAGAGTGCTAAGCCAGGCTGTTAGGTGAGCCCAGCTGGCTCGAAAACCTATGCCTCTGGTCCAAGGTGGTGTGAGAAAAGAAAAGATAGCAATTGGAGTAAAAGCTCAGTATGCTAAGTGTTCTCCCGCTGCTGTGGAAATAATATATTCTCCTTTACATACAATATGGACACGAAAGAGCAGCTTATATCAGATCTTCATGTTCAATTCCTCATAATGTCCTAATGTAGACCTAACTCCCCTTCTTACACTCTTCTGTAAATTTGCTTGAGCTCACAGTTATGCACCCTGAAGTCTTCTTATCCAGATTGGAAGACACTGGGAAGTCAAGGGAATTCCTGGATTTGGGCATAATCTCACGTGTGCCCACTTCCTGACGCTTGATCATCATTAGCTGTCATGTGACCTTAATGCTAATTCGCTGACCTCCATTCAATACTCTTATTTTAAAATTGAGGACAAAAATATTACAACAGAGTTTTGTTTACGCTGAGCAAGTTAATTTGTGTACAGAGTCAGTAATGCCCTCCTTACATGATAAGCTATGGTTTTTATTATCTTCCACTGTACTTTTTACCCACCCAAGACAAGAGAGCTATGGGGCTAATCTTATTTCCAGACACAATTCCTGGGTCACAAAGAGGGACCTGCTGACCACTTGGAAAATACACTGGAACACACAGCTGGTCCAAAGGAGTAGGTCTTTAAGTCGATCAACTCAGGATAGTTTTCTTCTTAAGATTTCGACTTACATAGAAATACTAGGTCATCAGAACTTGCTTCTTCTTCTGGTCAGTGTTTGTATGGTCTCACTCTTGAGTCTTAGAGCTAAGACTCTGGTGGGTTTATGCAAGACTCTGTTGTTCAGGGCACACTGGCGGAGGCCCTGAGCAACACAGTGATTTTCTTCGGATGGAGAAAACACTGTGAAAGATTTTCCCTGCAAGCTTATACCCAAGGAATATATTTGGACCTCTCTGCTACTGTTGATTATTGGGCCTAAGGATTTGCCTTCTTCTCATGCCTAATACCGATAACACAGAAAATCCAGGTGTGTGTGTGTGTGTGTGTACATACGCACAACTGCTCAGTGAGGTTTCTAGGGTATACACAGGAGGGCAGGAAGAACGGTAGAGATAAACCGTTCCTTATAGTCTCCTGTTTTCATTTTTCATTTCTTGAAACAAAGAGGCACCATCTGGCTCATGCATAAGTGGCATACAGACAATTTACAAAGGTGAACTGCCAAATTTCCTGTTACACATTTAGATAGAGAAAACAAACATCACTACATCAAAGCCCCGGAGCAATTTGTTCTGTCTTCTTAAGAAGATGCCCAATGACAGACACCACTTCTTCATGTGGACCTCTGACTCAGTGCTTCCAAGATTTCCTTCAAAGGTGGCTTCTATGAGGGTGAGTTCTGGGCACTGTTAAACCTGCTTCAGAACATCAAAGAGCACTGAGAGACTTGGCGATCAAATCTAGAATAAAGAAAATCTTAGAGCATCCTGAAGGGAAGGATGTTGGAATCCAGAATAAAAATGTCTTCAGATGTTCTAATTGAGAAGGAGGTGATATGCTGAGATCCAGGAGGAATGGGATTAGAGGGAATGGCACTGTGATCCTACAGATCCACAGTGCCAGGAGTGAATTTTTCTGTTTTCTCTGCTGTCCTGTGTGCTTAGCCCGGTGCCCGGCACTTGGTAGACATCCAATAAAAATATCAATGACCGAAGTTAGGATATGAATTTGATGTCAAGCAGGAAGTCAGCCAGCCAGACCAGGAGGAGACAGGGGAGGTAGTCAGATACCAAAGACACCTGAGCCTTTGAAGAAGATGAGGGGGTTCAAGTGCAAGTCTTGTCTAAGGAAGTAGAAGCAGTGTCTGGGGAATGTCCAGAGGGAACAGGCGAGTGTGGTCTGAGTCTGGGATGCCCATAGAAGACCTAAAGTGTGATCCTGGTAGGGACGGAGCTGAGTATCTAGAAGGTAAAGAAGGAAGGTATGTCCAAATCCAGGCAAAGATTCATATGGGGCTATAAAACAGGCCTAGAAGCTGGGAGCATAGTTCTGGGTTCTAAAACAAAGGATCCAACAGGACCTGGAAAGGAAGAAAACAGTAACCCTTAAGGCATGGGAATAATTTAGAACAAGCCTATTGGTATCTGACTGGTAGAATATTTGAGTTTATGAGTGTCATCATGCTTCCACA